AAAAGTCTAACCGAAAGGGGGGTGGGGGTTTATAAACATACTCTCTGGGCCTAACGATATTCAGTTCACTTAGCGAGCTAGCTAAACGAAGCCGCATGGTTATTTTAAACTCTATAAAGATGGGAAACTTAGCTTCATTATGCGTGTATATCCGTGCCAGCGCTTACGCGCTCAGAGGGCGAAGACAAGAAACCGCGCTCAGAGAGCGAAGAAGACCGAAACTTGTCCAGGAACGTTAGGCCGTCTCGTTTTCCACTGTGGAGCTGTTCAGTTGTCAATATTATTGTATTGTGTAGAGTATGCTTAGCCCTATTATGCTCAGCCTTATATGGTTCATAGCTACACACATTATCAATGACTACACATGTTTGCAGACAATCAGGTTTTGTTTTTCAGAACCCTTGATCATGTGTCAGCACATTATCATAGTTCCTACTTTTGTCTTGAAAGAAGCAAACTGCTTCTGGCTGGAAACAATAATTCTATAAACACATTCATGACGCTGGAATTTTTTTATTTTCTTATATTACGGCAAACTAAGTGGGCAGGAACTAATTTTTTTGCAAATTACATCAAGTTAACGTTTCGGATTGTCTTATGTTATACACAGAGGCAAGCCTAGCAATACTCTTAGAGCTCAAGAAACTTTATTGTAGTGATCGATTATGTAAGTTGGTCAGAAGTTCAAAATTGACATCAATTATGATTCATGACAGTCGTGAGATCTGGAGAGCTCATGTCCCATTGCACACCAGGGACAATTATGTAGGCAATGCCACTGGGCTATAACACACACAGCTGCATTTTCGCGGTCTTATAATGCAATGACTTTTCATAATTATGCAGAACTGTTTCTGACATCATCTGATGAAAAAGATGCTATTATTCAAGCTGAACATATTATCATCACTGATATTAACCAGGTCATCTGTTGGTATCGTGGTGCTACAGCTCAGAATGCCATGCATTGGTATCATCAGTTTGACGACCGTCGATTTCGTAGAGAGAATAGCATTCCCCCAAAAAATGACAGTAGGTATTTTGGATGGTATAGTGGTGAGCAAACAGATTCTTCTTCATATCAACAACTTAAACTATTGAGAGACATGAACTATGTTCAGATTGAGGGATTTTTCTTTTGTGATACTGGTCGCAATAGTATCTCCATTCGGATCCATCACCCCAGTGAGTTTGCATAACAAAACAATATCTCCTACGTACATTGTATGAGAGTGGCAGTGCCTTGCGTCCCTAATTCCATCTCACCATTGAGCATACAAATGCTATGTTGTCAAGACTGGCAGGATTTGAACCCCTGCAAAATTCTGGACACTGTCTGCCTCGATTTTAGGACTAGTTTTGTATATACTGCAAAGAGAACGGATGCATCACATTTTAGTGAAGGAACCCAAGTGTGAACTTTTGGTTGATTTACGGGTATTTAGAAGGATGAGGAGAACATCCTACGATCGTAAAATCACGTGATTCAGATGCTAGATAACACAAATGTGTGCAGTGCTGCCAACTATGAATGGATTTTCTATGCCCGGGTACGGAACTGAACAACCTATTTACAACAAGCCGAGGGTTGCATGAATCATCACCTCTTAGCAACTGACAGATAGGCCTGGCTTCTTTTTGTACTGCACACCGAGTTGCACACTTAGACTTAGTATGTAAGATAGTTGACTTAATACTGATTATCTTGGCATCTCTGTGCATATAAAAAAAACACATTGGCAGACACAGACGTGGTAAAACAAAGTTCACTCTAATGGTTTTAGAGAAAGGGCTTTTTGTTTCAATTTCCTTGCATATTTTCCTAGTTCTATATATGTCATAAAGTGAGGTTTCAGATTAAGCATGGTGGACAGACAGACAGACAGTACTGTAATTACCCCTCTAGCGAGGGATCAGACAAAGATGTGTGAATGGTGGCATTTGCTATTATAACCACCCGTTGTTTATGGTGTTTATGTGCATTTTCACAGGGGGTACAGAACCTTTAAATTGAGACCAATGTACTGTAGAAAGTTGCACGCCTGCAAACCTTGATAATAGCCAAGTTAACTAATGTTCAACTGTACTCATGAAAAGCACTAAAGTGCAACCCCTCGGCGCTAAACGCGCGTGTTGTAGTGTTGCTGTATGCTGGGCCATGCGTCATCGTCGGAGCCAGTAACACGAGTCTCGCCGTAACACAGGGTAGTTGCATTAGCGGTTAGAGCAATTGCTCAGGTGTTTCAGAAGCTCTCAAATTTGCTTTATTCAATCTATCCGCACTGCTCGCCTCACCTGAACTATTATGCTGCATTGCGGACATAGCTACCTTGCTCAGCATGTTTATCCATTGAGAACAGAGATCAAAACTGACAGAAGCCTGTGGATCGTACAACCACGTGGCACAGCGAATGCTCCGGCGAAAATTTACATGACGTGTGAGCGCTATATAGCCTGCAAGAGAGGGCGCGTGACAGTAGGAATTTTGGGTGGTATAGTGGTGAGCAAACTACATCATCTCAATATAAACAACTTAAACTATTGAAAGACGTGACCTATGTTCCAGTTGAAGACTTTTTCTTCTGTGATCCTGATCGTAATAATAATGATAACAATTATATCTCCATTGGCATCTATTACCCCAGTGAGTTTGCATAACAGAAACAATATCCTGTGTGAGAGTTGTGTTCCCAATTCCATCTCACCATTTAGCATGCAAATGCTATTTTGTCAAGACTGGCAAAACTCCCGTAAAATTCTGGACACTGTGGGCCTTGCTCATGGGGTTTGTATTGAAAAGAAAACGCATTGCATTTTAAGTGAAGGAACCCAAGTGTGAACTTTCAGTATTGAGGACAACATCCTACAATGGTTTAAACACGCAATTCAGACGTCTAGGTAGCCATTACATGACAAACGCATGTGTGCAGTGCTGCCAACCATAGGAACTCTTTAATGGTTTTTCTATGCTCTGGTACAGAGCTGAACAACCTAGGTAGACAAGCCAAGAGTTGTGTGTATCATCACCTCTTAGAGCAACTGACAGATATAGGTCAGGCTCTTTTTGTACTGCACACCGAGTTGTGCTGAGCTTTAATGCATGCACACTTAGACTAGTATGTGATATAATGCTGATTTTCTTGGCATCTCTGTGCATATCAAAAGAAGCTCAATGGCAGACCTAGACATGGTAAAGCAACGTTCACTCTAATGCGTTTTAGAAAATTGCCTTTTTGTTTCAATTTCCTCGCAAATTTTCGTTGTTCTATGTCATAAAGTGAGGTTTCAGATGAAGCATGGTGGACAGACAGTACTGTAATTACCCCTCTAGCGAGGGATCAGACAAATGGTGGCACCCATTGTTTATAGTGTTTATGTGCATTTTCACAGGGGGTATATACAGAACCTTTAAATTGACACCAATGTACTGTAGAAATGTACCTGCAAACCGTATAATGGCCAAGTTAGTTTGGTAACTAAAGTTCAACTGTACTCAATAACCCAAGTTACTTTCATAGACAGGCCAAATTCACTATTTGTAGTCGTAATAGTGTGCCACCTACTTGTCTAAATAGTAGTTGCAATGGCACCTTTTTATCCAATGCATATGTGAAACATCTTCTTGTACACCAGTTGACCCCTCACTCGCCAAAAAATGCTTTCTGCATAACTATCTGTTCCAGCACTTATGGGCTTACATTATTCTCTGGTTTTTTAGTCTCTTCCATTAGTGGGAGTATTCAAATGTTGGAAAAAGGTAGTAAGATGTTCAGAGTGATTTGTAAATCAACTGGTGGTAGACCACTGACATTGTCTATCACTGGACCATCTGGTGTTGTGGAGAACATGACTAACATTGTCAACGTCAGTGACATTAAAGGAGTGGGTAATGACAGTTTTTCAGCTGAAGCTAACTGGAAAAAAGGAGCTCATGGAGATATGTATGTGTGTTTTGCATCTAATGGAGTGTCTAATGCTTCAGATGTTGTTTCATTGAAAGGTATGTCTGTTATGTTAGTCATGATAATAATGGATGACACAGTGTGATCTCTCAGTTGCTGGGAGTCCAACTCTACTGTTAATAGTAGAGACATCAGCTACGTCAGTGATAGTGGAGTGGAGTCAGCCATCAGGAGGAGCCACAGTGACTGGATATGTAGTACACTATAGTGATGGAGTCGTTAACAATACCAAGCGTGTACCTGATCCAACCTCCACTTGTCACAGTATCAGAAACCTATCTCGATGTTCTAACTATACATTTTCAGTTGAAGCTGCTTCAGAGCACATCTCTGGAATATCTGAAACATTTGCGCTTGAATTTGGTGAATTTTCATGCTTATTGCTAATACTTTTTATTTGTTTGTTTTTTGATTACAGATTGTGTGGAAATAATCCTTATTCTCTCTCTCTGATTTAGGTACATCAGAC